GCCCTTCTCCCAGAGAGAGGTACATTTCTAGATGATTAGAGAAACTTCAGGTGGGAACAGTACTCTGCTGCTGGCTTTATGCCTTAAAATATGACCTAAGGCAAGCTATCATTTCCCAGAAATGAAATATGTCATATGTTACTATTAAAGTGAACCAGAAAAGGAGCATTCTATTACAATAATGGATTTTGTTTTTTTTTAAAACATAAATGTCAAATCCCCAAAGGAATAATACATACTTGATACTATTATTGGAACCGAAATACCAGTAATTGTATGAAGTACTTATATTTAGTATTGTTCATAAAGTAAAGGGATTTCATGTAAAATTTTCAGTAAAATTATGGTGTCAGAGAAAATGTAAAAGAGCACCACTCATTATCCACATAATCAATACGTACTTACGGTGGGTAAGTGTGCGTCTGCCACAAGTCTAAATGCAGCAGCAGCAACAATAACAAAATGACTACAATGTCTTCCTGGCTTCAAGGAGCTCTTATTCCAACTGAAGAGACAAACGGAGCAACTAACTACAAAACAATGTCACCACAGATATGACTCAGGTTCCAGTGGGGCCTGAGCTACACTGCAGGCAACTATTGGTTCTCACACAAGAGGTCTTTGTTATATTACTGCCCTATTCAACCAAGCTGGACCTAATGTACCAGGCTGAAGCTCATAGTAGGCAGATGGAATGAATGGGCAAGAGCGAAGCGGCAAAAACTGAAACAAATAAAAGCATGGTGCATTTGATGAGGGCTTTTGTGTAGTTACAGCGATAAGCTTGTTAATCGTCTAATGCCAAATGATGAACTCTGATGAGCTAGCTTCTGTTACAGAAACTTGAATGATATTGTGCAGTATAATTTTAACAGCATGATTATTTTTTTACATCATATTCTATAGTGCCAAGACAACAACAATAAGTGATCAAATGATTCATGGCATGGCACTGCCATCCTCATGAACTCATCCGTTAACTTCTGAAAACATATTTACATTAAAAAAAATGTAAGAAGACTACTCACTTCACATGGCTTCCGGATAGATGGAGCCTAATTTTCTAGCATTAAAATCAACTCTTTTTTTTTTTTTGCTGAGGAAACATGTCACCAAGGATTACATGAACTTTTGTAATGATTAATATTTGATATTTTGATATCACCTTTCATCCTAAGATCGGTCCTGTACTGTACCTGTGGGAATAGCTGACTGTGAGGAAATCTAGACAGTGTTAATATAATAGGTTACAGGGCTTTTCTACCTCCCACATTCCCAGGGTTTTCTGACCATGTGTTTCTTGTAAAGCACTGGTATTTTTATTGACTAGAACAAGTCAATAAAAGTACAGTATGGGACACATATTATTTGCAGTTCTCCTTGGGAGAGGATCTTTTGACAGATTCATTCCTCTACTTCTTGGTTCTTTTGCTTCCTGATCTCATCCTATGTGGTGAACATGACATGAGTGAGCTTTGTCCTCACAGATTTTTTCCCACTTCCTCAAAAGTATTATTATCTTCTACTTCTTTACCACTTCCATAAATTTTTTACACTTCCTCAAAAGTACTACTATCTTCTACTTCTTTACTTCCTCCCCCCCTCTTCCTCCTACTTCATAACAATAACTCCCATTGCTGGGAAAGTACTCTCTATGCCTTTGCTAATCTAATGTTCTGAAAATTAATTAACTCTAAATATTAACAAATTTCACACCAACATTAGAATAGTGCTATCCACTAGAACTTTCTATGATGGTGGAAATATTCTACATCTATGCTATGCAATATGGTAACCACTAGTCACAGGTGGTTATTGACTAGTGCTACTGATAAGCTACATTTTTTTCTTGTATTGAACTTTAACTAAAATCATTGAAATTGTTCCATGGCTTAGTGTCTCTTGTATTGGACAACACACAGCTAGTGGCTTACCCATTATTTTTAAATAGCAGTAAACATCAGTAAGAATGAGTAGAGTGAGCAATGGGTCTGAAATATTCTTGAAACTATAAGTAGTTTTTAAGAGAAGCCTTGTTTGTATTCTACAATTGGAGAAAACATAATCCACCTTCCTTCCACCCTATTAAAATTTAATTGAAAAGATTTATGTGGAGCATATAGTAGAACATAGAGTCTTTTCCAAACAAAGAATACTTACAAAAGATGTCGACGATATCTTAAATGAAACTCATTGCCATCCAACCATCCTTAAAGGCCAGCAATAATATACACTGGTCCATCTATTTAAAAGGAAGGGGAAGGGAACACAGAATGATGAGACAAAGGACAAGGGGGAGCCAATGCAACAGTGATATTCACAATTGTCTATGTTGGAAATGATCTGTACAACTTGGGGATAGGGGACTGGGGGGAGGAAAAGTAGGAGAAAAATGAGGGAAGAGGTAACAAGTTTGACAAGAAGTGTGCTTAATACCTCACTTATGTAACTGTAACCCTTCTGTACATCACCTTGACAATAAAAAAATGTGGAAAAAAAGAAAATTCGAATTCTGATTATTGCCTTTCCAAAGAAATTTGCTTCCACTCATGAAATGGAACAACAAAAGAGAGATTTACATTTGAGTGCTACAGATAAACTCTTTATTTCCCTTTCAGCCTATCACCAAACCCGTCTCCCCAGGATTTTTGTGGTTTGTGTGTCTAAAGATGAGAATAAACGTAGTTAAGACACAGAAACTGATTGGAAGATTTAATTACATGTCTGCTTAGTCCCGCCTGTAACAGAGAAAGAGGGAACTTAAGTAGCCCTTGGTTTTGAACCATCTGTCGCCAGAACGTGGCATATGTTTGCTTTGTTTACTCAACCACCAAGTAAACTGATACCCAGCACTAGAAATCTGTGTACAGTGTCTGCTGGGGAGGGGTTCCCAGAGAGACCACTCTCTCCCTACCTCTCCCGGAGGACACATGCACAGCAAAGAAGGAACCTGGATTGGTGGGATGTCCCCAGGGTTTGGGGACGCGCTGGGAGGCGACCTGCTCCTGGCACTGGGAACAATGCACAGCGCACAGGCTGGCAGCCAGCAGACCAAGGGCGCGTCTGGCTGATGTGTGGTTGAATGGGGAGCTACCCATCCCTCTCCCTCTTCTCCCCGCCCTCACACCCGGGCCCCCAACTTCTACCAAAGCCCGGTGCCCTTTTGCATTAACCCCCTCTTGTCTAAAGAAACAGCGTCTCTTCTCGGTCCGTGGCGGGCCAGCCGCTCATTGTCTGGCGTGATGGGTTTGCGGAGTTGACAGCTGGGGCTCGCGGAGCCTTGATTCAAATGCGGTTTCCCAGAGAAATGAACTTGGTCGTCCACAAAGATCTCCCGCACAAGTCTTGAGCGGCCGCACGGCCACCCACCCGAGGCGGACTGTCCTCCAGACGGGAGGTTAGACTTCGGGGCGTCCCCCCCCGGCTTGCTTGCGGGAAGGGGAACGCGTCCTCACACGGGGAACAGGAGCAAAGCCGCACGGCGGGCAAGGCCGACTCTGGAGGATCCGAAGGGCTTTGTATGCGTTCGCCCCCTTTTTTATTCTGTTTGTAAATTTACTTTTGAAACAGCCACGATGAAGGTCACCTTATATTTTTTTCCCCAAAGCTAGATCTGACTGGACTTAAATGCGGGGGGCGGGGAGGGGCTGGAGGCTACGCTTTTGTGTCATTGTCCAAGTTGGAGGAAGGACAGAGGCAGAGATGAGGTGTGCGCGCGTGTCCGTGCGAATGTGTGAGCGCTGGGGGAGACGAACGCGTGCGGCGGCGTGCCATCCCACGACGATCGCCGCGTCAGGGGCTCGGGTCTGAGTGTGTCTCTAACGGGCCAAGTCTTGAGTCGCCCTCGCAAGAGACTGGGGGAGGGGGCGGGGAGAAACTTTGTGTTCAGAAGAAGGGTTTGGTTGGATTGCAGTGAGAAGAACCCTTGTGCATTGTGCCTTGTGTGTGCGTGCGTGCGTGTGTGTGTGCGAGAGAGAGAGAGAGAGAGAGAGAGAGAGAGAGAGAGAGAGAGAGAGAGAGAGAGAGACTGTCTGGCAGCGCCCACAGCTGGCTGCATAGCGCTGCGTGTCCTGTGCGCGCTCCTGTGTGCGAATCAGCCCGGGTCCCTGCGCGACCAGCGAGTGTGATCTGCGGCTGCCGGGTGTGTGCTCAGGAGCTGGCGGGCAGTGCCCTGCGGGGCAAGATCAGGCCGAGGGTCCTCTGGCCAGGCTGTCCTCTGCCGCTTGCAATAACCACTCAACTCTGCTCTCTAAAGATTACCGCATCCTTTTTCTCCCCCCCCCACCGCCCCCTAGCTCAGAGCAAGTGAGCCCGTTAAGGAAAGAGGGGGCGGAGACAACGTCCCCAAAGAATGAATAAATAAACAAATAAATAGTCTCCTCACCGCAGCTGGACGTGGTGGTCAGTTGAGACCAGGTTGGTAGCAATGTGAGTTTTGCGTTTTGTTTTTGAATTTCTTTTCCTGTTTCTATTCGGGAACCCATCGATCATCGCTCTCCCCCCTCAAACGCTCCACCCCCCCTTTCCATCTTGCCGACGCCAGCCAACTTTGGGGTCGTGGAGGGGCGGCACTGTGGCGCGGAGGTGGCCCCTGGCCGGGCAGCGCGGGCGTTGCTGCGCAGCACGCTGGCTCCCGGGGCCGGCGGCGGTGTGGCCGCGCCCGGGTCCGGGGCGCTCGCCCGGCGAGTGGCAGCGGCGCTGACGCCCTGGAGGGGATCGAAGCGCGCGCGGCGGGTAGGGCTGGGGTGGAGGGCAGAATCTGGGATTCTGCTTCAGCCCGGGGGATGTTGGCTTCCTCTTGCCCGGCTGCCTGGGGCAAGCCCGGGAGTGGGGAGGGGGGGAGAGGTAGGAAAGGGTGCGGCGGCGAGGGCTAGCGATTGGTGCTTTGGATGCAGAGGGCTGGCGGCCGAGCGCGCGTGCGAGCGGCGGGGCGCGAGGAGGGGGCGGCCAACTTCCCGGGAGAAAGGGGCGGGGGGGGGTGGGCGACGGTCTTTCCGCGCAGGGGCTGGCTCCGGGGCTGGTGCAGCCGCCACCGAGGGCTCGGACCCTGGGCATCCGCCGGCTCTGCGCCCCGCGCTCGCAAAGTAACGTTTATTCATTTATTTGCTTGCGTTCAGCCTCTTGGATTGCACCGATGGACGCCCCTTTGGACTTTTTTTTTGGGGGGGGTGTTCCGCGTCCGACCTCTCCAGCCTCAAACCTCCAGTTCCCCGCGCCTCCCTAGCCCTGGGAATCTAAGCACACGCACCGCCCCCCCACACGAGGCCCGACCCGAGGGGGGTGGGACCCGGGTGTGGGGGGGTGGGTCCCTGGGTCCCTCCCCGGCTCTCCCAAGTCCCCCCCCCTGCCGGGGGCGGGGGAGGGGAGAAGGCCGGGAGGGGCGGCTTCAGCACTCGGGGCTCTCATTTCAAAGTGCGCTCTGCCTTCCAGGTTGGGTCGGACCTGAACCCCTCAAAGCGGGACCGCCCCCCCCTCCGCACCCCCCTCCCGCACCCCGCACGCCCGCCGGGAGCTGAGTCGCCGGCGGTGGCGGCGGCGCCTGACAGATCGGAGTTTCCTCTCGCGCTGGATGGAGCTGAACTTTGGGCGACCAGAGGAGCGCAGCCGTCCGGGGACCGCTGCATGCTGAGCCCCCCCTCGGCGAGACCCGGGATTTTATTTTTTTGGGGGGAGGCGCGGGACCAGCTGCGCGCCGGCACCATGTTTCTGGCGACCCTGTACTTCGCGCTCCCGCTCTTGGGTAAGTCGAGGCCGCTGGGAGCGTTCCTAGCCAAGAAGGCTTTCTTTCTGTGGGCCACTTGGGGCCCTCTCCCTCCCCCCACCCCGAAATCGCTGCGGTGGAGGTGGAGGAAGTTTCGGGGTGGTGTTTTTTGGGGGAAAGGGGATCAGGAATCTGTGGATTTCAGAAGTGGTGGCCCCGCAGAGCGGGCAAGCCTTTTCGACCAGCTTTTCATTTGGCTGTGGTTTTCAACCAGCCCAGCCCGGCTAGGCGGGAAGTGGGGGGCGCGGGGCGCGGACCGAGCCCTGAGCCAGTCCCAAGGCGTTCGTGGAAAGCGCCCCGGGGCCAGGGATCGTGTGCGCGAACGCCGGGCAAGGGAGATCCAACTTGGAACCCCAAACTTTTCCTCCCAGTATGATCTTGGAGCTTCCCGCCGGGCACCCCTCGCCCGCCTCTCGCCCACCGGTCCAGTGGTCGCCCAGGGGCTTCGCCGTCCAGAGCCCCGCCGCCGCCAGGCCCGGCCAGGCCGGGCAAGTGGATGGTTGCCGTTGGGGGGGGGGGAATGGGCGTCCGGGGAGGCGGGGCAGCCGCCTGAGAACCGAGGCTGGGGGCGATGCACGGAGCCGCGGAGGCTCCTGGGCAAATCCCTCGCCACCTTCCTTCGCGGGACAGGGAGGCGGGGCGGGAGGGGGGAGCGCTAGGGCGGGAAAATGGATTTCCCTAGCTTGCAACCTGCCCAGGGCACCCCAGAAGGCAACTCCAATCACCATTCCCGGGGCACCCGCCCGGCGCCCCGCTCCGCTCCGCAGAACCCGGAGTCCGGTACCGGTAGGATCTAGGACCGTACTCAGGTTGGCTCTTTCCCACCCGGCAGATCTGCTCCTGTCGGCCGAGGTGAGCGGCGGGGACCGCCTGGACTGCGTGAAAGCCAGCGATCAGTGCCTGAAGGAGCAGAGCTGCAGCACCAAGTACCGCACGCTGAGGCAGTGCGTGGCGGGCAAGGAGACCAACTTCAGCCTGGCGTCCGGCCTCGAAGCCAAGGATGAGTGCCGCAGCGCCATGGAGGCCCTGAAGCAGAAGTCGCTCTACAACTGTCGGTGCAAGCGAGGCATGAAGAAGGAGAAGAACTGTCTGCGCATCTACTGGAGCATGTACCAGAGCCTGCAGGGTACGCCTCCCACTCGTACCCCCCCAGCCGGACGCTGGCGGGGCCCCTCGGGGCCCTGGCAGGCGGGGTTGAGCTCATCTTCCACTCCCTTCTCCCCCAGCTGCAGGAGGGCCTTTCATTGGCCCCTGGGGACAGCAGCAGCTGGCGTTGGCTGCTGCAGCTGAGCCGCATCGGTGGGGCTGGTTGTTGGAAAACCCATGAGGGGGTGTACGCAGCCCCTCTCCTGCCCCCAGGACCCCGCTGGACCCTTCTGAAACACAGTCAGAACATCAGAGTGAGAATCCACTAAGAGCCACCCAAGGAACCCTCCGCCTTTCCCCAAGGAGATCCAGCCAGAGATTTCCCTTGTCTAGCATCTTCCCTAGAGTTTTTCCTCTTCTCCTCCCTGGTCATCTATCTGACCTGAGATTAAGAAGTATAAAAGGTCTAGTAAAATCCATTTTCTTTTTTACACCCTCTCAAACTTGATCAGAGGCACATGCGTGACAAACTATTTGTCATCTGAGATTAGCTGTGTCTTGAATCAGCTGTTGTGGTTCAACCTTGGTTAACACAGAAGTAGCTCAGGGAAAGAAAGATCCACTTGTCACAACCCTCTAGTCCAATGGGAGATGCATACCTATTTGTGTGTGTATGTGTGTAGATATATGGATGTGAACTTACCTGTCAGACGTGGCAGGAGTTTGTAAACCTTGCACAAACATCCCATGCTACTCATTTTCCACTGAGGCTCACGCTGAAACTTCGCAATATGCAGCTTTGACATGTCAGCTGCCACCTCCTCCAGAAATCTATAAATGAAAACCTGTTTCTGAGATGGACTCTTGAATAGCCAGAGTACCTCATTTGTGACCACATGCCATGGTTTGGGAGCAAACAGTCAAGGGTGCCTCCTCCGGGTCACCTTTCTTCCATTGGCTCCTGGAGGCCAGCAAGGTTTTTGACGTCACTGGCTCATTCTTCTCAGATTTCATTCCTTTGCAGAGTGGGGGAGTTTTCTGGCCAAGACCAGGCTGGATTGTGCTCCAATATTTTCATGGCACTCTGGGGAGAACGGGACAACAAAGGCAGAGGAATAAAAAGAAATAACCATAGCCAAACACATGCATTGGAAATCTTTGAAAGTTTTAGCATCTTTTTGTTACACAATCATAACATACTTAGAATTCAGACTGAGCAGTGAAACACTGCTGGAAATATATGTTTTTCAGGTCTGAGCCCCATCTTTCTGTTTCTAGGAAATGATTTGCTTGAAGATTCCCCATATGAGCCAGTTAACAGCAGATTGTCCGATATATTCCGGGTGGTCCCATTCATATCAGGTAAGCAGATTTATACTTCCATTCTGATGCCTTTGTCGGCTTGAAATCTGTTGGCTTGCATTCTCTTTCAAATAGTGTATAATAAGTAGATACCTGAATGGCACATTGTTTCCAGGAAAATCGAAATAGGATGAGGATAATGAAGAAGAAGAATGCCTAGCAATGATTGTCTGACTTAAAGTAATGCTAAATGAAGTAATGTGGTGTGATGGCTTGAAAGAGGTTGGAGGGAGATGGCTTGGCTGCGTTCTTTTTCCACATTAAAATATGATTGGTCGACTTCTGGCAAAGGGAATGCCACTTCTGTCTGTAGGTGGCAATGCTATTCTTGTTGCTGCATACCTTACACAGTGGCTCACCACTGAATGGCATTTGTTCCATTGATGCCACTTTCTTTAGAAGATGCTGAACAGAAGCCTAAGTTGCTGAAGAATTTTGGATAGACGCATCTGTCTGCCTTTGATTTTTTAAACAACTTAAGCTGTACCATTTGTTAGTCAGTCTCCTGTTTCTAATTGTTCCTGAGCAACTGTGCATTTCAGAGAGGATATGATACTGCCCCACTGACCCCTTTAAAATGCCGCCTTGCTTCCTATGTCTGAGGTTGTCTTTCTGTGCAATTCTCCATTTGGTTTGGCAGTTTAGAATTAAGTTTTTCATAATATCTGCATTCACTCAGCCTGTAAATAATGAGAAAAGTAGTAATTCCTCTTAATGACATACAGATTCCAGACTGATGTCTTTGCTTATTTACAGTTAAGATGCTTTCTCAAGTGTATATAGTCTCTACGAATGACATGTTTCTTAGTGGTAAAACAGGGCGGTTAGCATTGAATTGGAATCTCTGAGATTATGGTCTGTTACCAATGAGAAAGTCCTAGTATTCCAACAGCTTTTCCTGGTGAAAATCATAAAACCTAGTATGCAAATATTGATGTTAGGTGTGAATGTATTACACATACATCTATTCATTGGCCAAATACATAGTAGGCCAAGTGCTTACTGTGGTTCAGCTATTGCAGTTTTGGCAGTAAGCCAGGTATCATCTCTGCCCTTGTGAGTGAGAGGTTGCCAGCCACTGACATTTATTAAGCCTTCATTATATTCTAGGCCTTGTACTAAGAGCTTCACATTATTAACTTGTGTAATTCATCATCAAGTACTTCTTAGGTGTTATCATTTCCATTTTAGAGATGAGGAGACTGAGGCATAGTGAAGATGGGAAACTAGCCCAAAGCTCCTAAGTAGTACAACCAGTCTTGAATCCAAGATTTGTTAGATTCCAAGATTTTCCTTTTAACATCTACCCCTCGCTACCTGAAAGAATATATTCCTCAAACTGACAGCACTAACAGTTCAGACCACTTGAGACCCTCTATTCTACATGATTTTGATCTTTGGTTTAGAGGAAAATGTGTGTGTGTGTGTGTGTGTGTTTGTGTTGGGGATAAGACATAAGGCTACATGTTTAGTGTTATTTTATACTGAATAAGTTCTACTTCATTGCCCTACTGATACTTCCTGTCTTGTCTTGATGGTTCAGCTAGGACAGTGGCTCAAGCAGTGGAAATGATGCACAGACAAGTGTATGTACCATCTGAGCTCTTGTATGAATAGATATGGTAGAAGTAGGGTGGTGTGTGGATGGTGTAGCACCAGGATGAACCTGGCTGTCCTATGCTTTTGAGAGACAGAGCCTCTTGCCTACTGCCCCTCTTAGGAATGCTGCTTCTAGCCAGTATTGACGACTGGACAGGTAGGAACCTGTCCAGAAAAGAAAGAAGGTCATTTGGGTTTTAATTTCAGATCTGGGGCCTTTTACAGACTCATTTTTTCCCTCTGTGAATCTCTCATTTCTCCTTGGTATAATGAGGCAATTGGAGTAAATATTCACCAGTCCTAACAGACCATGCTTCTGACAGAAGGATTGAGGTCACCTCTAAACTCTCTCTTTTTGCTCTTGAGTCACTTTTCCAATCCTTGCATTCATTTCTACACTTGAAGTGGCAGGGTCAGTGGGTATCATTTGCTTACCTGAATATTTTTATAAGTGTTGGAAAAATTTTTCTGTTGTACCAAGTTTCACTCATTCATTTATTGGATCTCTCTTTTAGCCAGGTATCTTTTTACAGCAAATATGAGCGTGAGTTTGTAAGATCTGTCTTATTGAGAACCCGAAAATTCATCATGAATTAAGCAGAGCCAGGAAGGCTTTGTCTGGAGCTTTATTTTATATCTCAAGGGTATTGACTTTAGGTTTCAGCACTAATAAGCTTTGACCTCTGACAGCGACTGTTCCTTAAGTGGGTATAGGGAAGCCAAATGGAGTCTTGAGAGATTTTTAAGTCATTGAATAATGTGTATTAGTCAGTTTGGTCTTTGTAGAATTGAGAAACAGGATGATAAATCTTTTTCTAGAACATCTCTTCTGTCTTGGAAATCTGAGGAAACCAGGACAACAGGGACTTTGCCTTTTACAGATGTGGTAGTTCTCAGAGTTTCCATATTAGGATGTCTCTGCCTAATGTGAAGAGTGTGTTTATCCATATGCATTATAGTATGAGCAGAATCACCCCACTGAAGGAGACATGTTTGACTTTCTTGTATTTCCTCTTTCTTTGTATTCATCAAACCCACAGTCATGTTAGACATTATTTACTTGCTAACCTGATTAAAGACATGTGAAGTATTATCAGTGACCTGGTGGAAACAAAGAAAGGAATAAAAATAGCAAAAAGTCATGTAGAATCTAAAAACTCCTCTGAAGCAAGAGAACAAAACTCCTGCAGGCTTGTCAGGTAAGACTTTTAGGTGGTTGTTGGGGCCTATTTCTGGTGGAAACTTAGTAAGCAAATCCTTCACCACTAAAGGCATGCTAAAGGACTTGTATGTTTACTGCAAGTGGTTGCCAGTTTGGTTATCTGGGCTCTGGAACATGAAATTCACAAAGGAAAAGGAGAGCCAGGAGGAGAGGATGTTGGGGTGGAGGGAGAAATGCTTCAAAGTCCCTTGGGAGCCAACAGGGCAGAACTTGTGTGGGTGCTGGAGGCGACCTTCAGTTTAACATCTGCCTCTCTCCTGGCCACAACCCTCTGCCCTTTAACCTCTGCCTTGCCTCCCTTTTTCTTCTTCACAAAAGTTCAAACAACAGCAGGAAGTAAATAGTGATTTGAAAGGGTGATGAGCCTGTGGGCAATTTTGTTTTGATTCTCCAGAAGGGGAAAAGAACAAAGCAGCAAGAAAGTTTGAAAGTCCAATGGACACCAAGAAAAATCCGAGGGTGGAGGATCTGAGGGAGGAGATAAGCTCTTCTTGAGCAGCAAGAGAAAAAGAACTTCCAAGGTTTCAAAACATTGACTGGGATATTGTATTTTATAAAGAGTCAAGGGATGCCAATTGTATCACATACAGGAGTCAAGTATAGAGAAAGAAGGGAAAGAACCTTAGGATTGGAATAGTCTGGGCTGGATGGGAAGGACAGATGTCGTGGCTGCTTCGGCAGAAGTGTGAGGTCTTACCTAAAAGACAAACTCATGAAGCAAAAGCACTAGTGGTTGAGGCTTAAGTGGCAAGCACTTGCCTAGTAAGTACACAATGCTGAGTTCAATCCCCAGTTCCCTTACCCAAAAGAAGGAATTGAAATACCTTCAGTGTGATTTGGTGAAAGGCAACCTCTCACCTTTTTGAATGTATCATCATACCCCTACCAAGTCCTAAAAAGGTCTGAGACTGACTCCTGTCTCCAGAGCTGTAGGATCTTGAAATTGATGTTGTAGTGATTGGAAGTGATTTACTCTGAGAATAAGATGTACCGAAACTCCTTTGTGTCTGAATAAGGCTGTGCATCATCAGCCATGCTTAGCATTTTTATGTCACTATTTAAAAACAAAACAAAAAAATGAGGTCCTCAAAATCAGAAAGAAAAAGTAGGACAAAACACCCGATGGACATGTGAAAGGCCTTCCCTTCTCACCTAGCTCTTGAAAACAGCTTTCTAAATGTGTTTGCTCTATGTTCAAGAACCATACTAACATCCTGTTTATCAGCTTTAGCCTAGGCCACTCCTTAGCAGGCTGAGAAAGGCTTGGCTAGCTTCATTCTTCTAGCCTTCTTTTAAGCTTTCCTGGAGCTCTGGGGTCAATACCATTTCCCAGGTATTCAAAGTGAAATCACTTTCTCAGACCTTTGTGCTTGGCCTTGTCTTTGCTTGGAAAGTTTCTCTTCTTCAAGACCAAGATAAGATTTCATCTCTGAGGGGCTTGCTGGAATTCCCCCAGCCCACCACTTCCTCTCAGAACTCCCTCCTGCTGCCTTGTACTCTTTGCTTTTATGGTAGCTATTAATCACTCCACACAGGGAATGCTTATTTATGGGTCTGTCTTTCCTATTGGAAAGTCAGGGACTGGCTTGTCATGCTGCATACTGCTCAGTCACAAGCATTCTTCCTGGTTATCCAGAGCTGATAACCCATCAGCCAAGGGTGACTGAATGTTAGAGAGCTGGTCCATCTCTCTGTGTTTCCAGATTCTAAAATCAGAGAGGGAAGTGGTTTGGCTAGTGTCACATTCCTTGAGGGTAGCCACAGGGCCACTTCCACACTGGAGGCCATTGGGGTCTTACTGAGACTTATTGTCTGGACACACCTCTCCCATTCCTGAAACCTTCCAGAAGTGGTAGATTCTACCACTTCCCAGAGTCTCCCTTCCTACTCTAGCCCTCTACTTAGGTACAACCACCCCAGCAAGTCTAAAACAGATCTCACCCTCTCACCACTTTTTCTCCTTACAGTTTCTCTTCCTGTTTTTCTTGGCTTATATAATAGCTTTATCAGCTGTATGATTACCTGTGCAATCAACTCTGGAGTTATCTCCTGTCTGGCTGCCTCACTCCCTGAACAGGCTCATCCCCAAGTCTTGTAGAGATTGCCTGCACTCTGAAATTGTACTTCTCTCTATTACCTGAATGTACCCACCTTGTCTCTTACTTCAATTTTGTCTTGG